TTAAAATTTAATGAATGTATCAATGAACATCGGTACGTCGAAATACTAAAACATGTTCATTGTTCAATAAATGATTTAATTACGATTACGTAAATCTGTGGATCTAACATAACAAACATATCATTATTAGGGCGCGAGATTGAAGACAATCAGCTTAGTATACTGTTCTCTGCAGTCTGGAATAGTTTCATGTCAGACCTTTTAAACTCCATAGACTGAGACAGGGGCTCAGGAATCGAACTATAACTAGTGGATTTATTGATTAATTGATTCTATAATATTTCACATTTTATGTTCACTTTTATTTTTCGATCTGCACACTTGTGCTCTAAATTTTTGTACTACGAATAATTTTATGTACGATACAAAGTATGATACATGAAACGATATATATAAACTCAACATTTGAATTAATTTTGTCGTTCAGCTTTCTCCATCTATTAATAAAATTTCACATCTTTTGTTTAACTTAGTAATTTGATTTATTTCTATTTTTATTTAAAAATTGCGTTGTTGCCTTTTTCATTTTTTTTTTTTTTAATTTTTAAAATAAAGTTTTAAGTTAAAAAAGAAAAAAGAAAATAATTTGAAAATTTTATTTGTATACAAAGTGCTTATGAAAATATTACTATTTAATTTTAAAAAAATTCAGCTTTCTCCATCTATTAATAAAATTTCACATCTTTTGTTTAACTTAGTAATTTGATTTATTTCTATTTTTATTTAAAAATTGCGTTGTTGCCTTTTTCATTTTTTTTTTTTTTTAATTTTTAAAATAAAGTTTTAAGTTAAAAAAGAAAAAAGAAAATAATTTGAACATTTTATTTGTATACAGAGTGCTTATGAAAATATTACTATTTAATTTGAAAAAAAAAGGTTTCAATATGTTATGCAGACACGAAAAAATTGTGTCCATATAACTATATGAGTTAAGATCTTATAAAACATTTACAAAATACACAACAAAACAAGTACAAATCCAACATTTCATCCAAAATCATCATCATTTACGCCATCCTTTGTAAAAAATCTGCGCTCAATTACACGTACTAGAGACAGGTCGTCGCCTTTGAGACCGGTTTAGAGAACACCTAAATAAAAACATAAACAAGCTCTCTGTCCGGTCTACCAACATTTCAATATAATTTTTGTCATCGCGGTTACTAGTATACTATTTACCACTAACACACCGAATAGGATTATTTGGAGTAAAAATTAATCAAAATATTTGGTTCGTTTACGCCATGCATGATAAAACAAATTCACAATTTTTCTTAGCTGCCATTTATTTTCCAGTTTTTGTTATTTTTTACATTTTACTTCAAGTCACTTCCATCCCATTCTTATTTACTTGTTTATGTCTAATTTTGAGCCCATTCTAATTTTTAATTTTATTTTAGGTTGAATATATGTATATGTTTCTAAAAATTATGTAAATTCAATTTAAACTTATGTACATGTTTTTTTGATTTTTTTGTGTACTGATAAATGCCTTCGCCGAAACATTAACTTGTTTAATGTCGTTTTAAGATCTATGAATGCAATATGAAAAAGCATTTTCTGTACACGAGTATTCTCAGAAATTTTGCTTAACGAGATTATCATGTCTATATTTGAAGGCCTAGCCAGAAGCGAAACTTGAACTCTGGGTAGATGCGATGAGTTTAGGCTCTGCACGCCTTTAAAAGCAACTGGAGCAGGCGTCGTTCGATCTAAGCCAAGGAGAGAAATTCGTCCGTAGCTATTACAATCATTTGGGCCGCCTTTATTTTTTAAAAACAATGTAACGGTATTGAAGTCTCTCGTGTCATGGGGAATGTGACATGTTTCCCAACAAAGACAGACGAGCTCATCTGAGGGCTAAGTAAAATTGTTCTTCCGGTTTTTTTTTAGGGCTTACGGGGCAATGCCGTCAATCCCTTGTGCCTTTCCATCAGCAAACCAATCGATCAAAGCTAGCTATTCATTTAGTTCTTCCATTATTCATATTACGGGAACGTTATTTAGAGCATTCTCATTGACTACGTTCAATGTTGAGTATAGTTCAAGATAATGCTCCTTCAGCGCCAATGTTTGTGCTTTGGGTTATGGATAAGTTAACCTGTCTTAGACTTGAGTGTAGCTATTTCTGTTGACCTAATGTTCTCGTGATGAACTTCTACATGTTCACATCGCTCCCAAAGTCGGAAGCCAATATAAACGACTGGATTTACAGAATGGATGTGATACCCAAAGAATGATCTGGCCTTTATTTTCCTTAGGGCAATGTTCCTAAATTGGCCTTTCCCATTCGAACTATTTTATTGAATTGATTTACATGGGTATCTTTAATATTAGACACTAGGTAGTGATCTGACATAGCGCTTGTTAGGCAGCAGTGAAATCTCTCTACAATTTTATTTAGTATTTTAAATAGTTTAAATATTTTTAATAATTGTAAAGCGCTTAGAGCTGTAAGGTAAGCGCTATACAAAAATGCCTAAATAAATAAATAAATATTTTTAGTGAGAGAATTTCAAGTACAGATTCTTTGTAATAAGTAAAAAAAAAAAAATAACGTTAAAAAGAAATGCAGCAAAAGTACGAACGTGTTTGCAAGATGCCTTCTTCAGCGAAAAAAACAGAAAATAATAAAACAGAATTAACTGAAATTTAAAAAAAACAAAAAACGAAGTGGTTATTCGCAACCGCATGTAAAGTGAGTGGTTGGGAATTTAAAAAATACTATTTGAAATAGTATTGTAGCTTTTGTAAGACAAAATATTAGATGAACGATAATTGAATGGACTAGTTGTTTGTAAAACTTACTTCTTCCGTTTAGCTAAAATAAACTAAAAGAAATGACACCCGAATAGGTTTTAGTCTAAAGGGACCAAGGCACGCATAGCCGCTATGATACCTCGGTAACCAAATCCATTCAGAATATGTATTCTTTCTCAAAATTTAATATTTATTTTATGGAAAGTATTACAAACTCAAATAACCAAAAAAAAAAAAAAAAAAAAAAAAAAAAAAACAAAAAAAAAAAAAAAAAAAAAAAAAAAAAAAAAAAACAGCCCAACAAAAATGTTTGCCAGCGAGTTTCGATGTTGTTTTCTTCTATTGACTAATGTACTGGTGTTTTACACACGTTTGCTAGGGACTTTAGGAACAAGTTTTGTCCCCAAAAGGTAAGTCACTTTCGCATTCTATAGACCAATGCCTCCACCAAGGTTTTCCATTCCAACTACCTTTTGGATAGTAGTAGTAGTAGAGTAGTAGTAAGATTATTAAAAGGAGACCAGAGATATTAGCTGTCAAAGTCTTTCTCCGGGTGTATTACAACCAGATGCGGCGAAAATGGGGTTACATATAACGATACATTTGTTAAAAAATATGATCGAAGAAAAATGTAAAAACTCAAGTTAGTGCAAAAAAAAGAGCTGTTGACAAAATCAGGGAAGCCATTAAAACCACCAAAGCTACTAAACGTCTATTCTTTATTGGTGGACCTGGTAGAAGTGGTAAAACTTTCATCTACAGCTTGATTATGCACTGTTTGCGTAACAAACAATGAAGTAGCATTGCCTTGTGTATTTGAAGGAATAGCAACAATTTTTCTTGACTGAGGTAGAACTTTCCACTTTCATTTTAATATGCCTTTTTTCTATTAATAAATCAACCACCTGAAAAGTTCGACATGCAACCCTACGACAAAAATCCACTGTAGAAACCCTCTTAAAGGACGTCCAACGCTTCACAGGGATGAGTGGGGGCTCTCATGGCAAGGATACATCTCCAACGTGCCGCTTTGCGGCCAGATACCGAGCTAAGTGGTTGCTTTGGTTCGGGCAAAAAGAGTATTAGCAGAACGGACCACTGATTCCAGTTCTGAATGTGACATTTCAATGTTATCAAAGATGATCGAATGCCCCAAATACAAGATAACGCATAGATGCAATGCACGACGCAGCATCGAAAATTACACTATCCTGTCTGCCAGGTATATTGTAGAACTCTTTATAGGCCTATTTTTCAACCCTCTGCATACATTTTATAAATTTAAATTTCAGGACTCGGTGTAAAAGGGACTGCACATGGCTAAGCACAGTTTTTATAAGTTCGACCACATTTTGAAAAAAAAACAAATTTATTTTCGTTTTAAAAAGGATGGATCTTACTTGAATATAAACATATAGTTTTTTAAGTTATCCCCCCCCCCAAAATCAACATTTTAAAAATGTATCTGAATGGTTTTAAATGGGTATAGAACATTTCCATACAGTTACTGTATACGCTTGTTTGTGTGTAAAGAACATATAACAATGAATAGCGATACGTCAAATACCAAAAATATTCAACGTTAGACGAATGATGTCATTAAGATTACATAAAATATGTGAAGATACCATAACAATCAATGCATTATTATTTGGCGAGACCGAAGACAAATAGCTTATTCTATTACAATTTTGTGGTGTCGTATTGTTTCATGTCCAAGGTTCTATACTTGGACAGGCAGAGGGCTTATGACTCAAAAGGTTATTGGGGTTTTTACTAACACTCTAATATTTGACATGCAAAAAAAACAAAAACAAAAATGCGTATTTTTTTATTTACGTGTTAGTTCATACAGCAAATAATTTAATATAAGCAAAAAAACAAACGGACAAATAAACAAACTTAATATTTAAATTATATTTGTTTAGTTTTCTACTGATAATAAAATCGAATAAATCTATATTGTTATGCTGAATAGTTATATATATATATATAGATACATATGTATCAATTAAGTTTTTTCTTTATAAAATTGAAAATACAAATACATATTAGATTATAAATAAAAAGAACAAAGTCTTCCATACTTGATGTATTTTGATGTTAAACATCGAACTAAATAAAAAAAAGGATGCTTAGTATATAACTTTTGAGAACCACTGTATAAGCATTCAAAATGACTTTGCGGTGTGTATTTAAAAGACCTCTGTTCGAACGCTCCGTTGACCACTTTTAGTACAGTGATTTCGAAATTGTGTTTCAAATAAATTCTGTCTGCAAGCCGCGTGTAAAGTGGAAAATGACTAAAATGCCTTTTATGTCAATCGTGTTTTTCTTCATAATCCTGTTGAATTCGATCGAAATACAAGCAGGTACAAAATATCCTTTTGCCAAAAAAATATCTTTTATAAATATGTTTTATTTGAACATGAAAATAAATGATATATATATATATATTATTTATACTTGTGTTATGATTGATGCACATGTGTCATTTTGTTTAATGTTCGTTAACTGTGTATCAATGACGTTTAACTTTCCCGTTATTATTGTTGTATCGTTTTGTTTAGCAGGAAAATATCGTGTTTTTCATATTATGAGACTGAACATTGACATTAACCAAAAAAAAAAGAGGAAATTTTTATTTTCATCTGGGATTAAAATGTTTAAAAAAAAATAATAATTTTATAAACCATTTTTCTCTGCATATCTTTTTTTCTCCAAAAATTGTACAAGAACATATTTAAAATGTCCCACAAAACATCAGTATGCGGATCATACGAACTCAACGAAGGCAGTGCCGCTAAATTTTAGTTCAAGAATTCAAGGAGAGAAACACACACAATTCGCAGCCTGAAAAGAGAAACGTCTGTAATAAAAATAGTTGCCGTCGAATTGTTTCAATGGAGGTTTCAGTATAATTTTTTTGTTTCGTTTAAGACTGATTCGTTCAATAAGTAATATGTATTTTAAATATTCCCCACACTTAAGTGAAAGACCAACTGATTAAAATGAAATCACAAATGGTTCTTTATTTTTGTTATGTTATAAGGCAACACGTTCATATCTATATTTCAAGGCGTTTGCAGGTGGTCTCAAGGTGTCAACATTGATGGCGTGTGCTTCCTTTTAAACACAACACAACTGACATATAACGAATCTAAGGTAGTTATACAACACGACTGACAAGAAAGATCTTAATGAGCTGTTCTTTTTATATAAATGAAAGGACTGCTTTCAAGCTTAGTAAATGAATGAAATAGGGAAACGAGGTATGTGGAAGCTTTAAATAAGACAACAGGACAAAAAAACAAGGACGTTTTGGCATAAAGCCTTCCTCAGCCAAAAATACAAATGAAAATATAACAAAGAAAAGAGCACAGTGCATGAGTTGTCTACTGTGCTCTTTTCTTTGTTATATTTTCATTTGTATTGTTGGCTGAGGAAGGCTTTATGCCAAAACGTCATTGTTTTTTGTCCTGTTGTCTTATTTCAAGCTTCCACATACCTCGTTTCGCTATTTCATTTATGTTCTTTTTATGCAAACTTGTTTTTTATTTTTATTCTTTTCTTCTTCAAAGTAGAAACAATTATAATATTCTAATGATCATTCCCAAAGGTTTAAATTTAAAAGAAATTGTATCCTTCTAATCAATTGTTTAAGTAATAAAAAAAAGGAAGTATTACAGGTTTCCTTAAAAAAAAAATAATGGTCTAAAAATTACATATCTGTTTCAGGCATATTGCGTCTCTATCGGTGGAGCTTTGGCCACAGTAAATACAATGACACAATTCAACGCAATTGCAGCTATGGCAAACGTATGTAAGTACAACTAATAAGTTATTTTTTTTAAAGGACTAGTAATTTCACGCACACACACACACATTTCTATATATCTATATATAGAGATAAATAAATATATATATATACATATATATATAAATATATATACATTTGTATCTATAAATATAAATTTGAACAATTTAAAAAAAAATAATAATACATATTTTACATTACATATTTCCACGGGGAAAAGGACTGGAGTTATCAACTTTAAAATGGAAAACAAATGTTCCTGTGGTCGTTATTATTTTTTTATTTTATTTGTTTATCTTTATTTTCTTTTTATAGAAATGTGAATATACAATGTACATGTATATTACATTTGAAATAATTTATAAACATTTGTTAAGAAAACAAAATGTAACATTTTTTTGTTTATAAGGCTGTACTGTTCGCATCTTTTTAATGCAGCCCTGCACACTCTCCGGTATTTACGTGTATATCAACGCACTAAATAGTAATGCAAATACTATCACTTTATGATAACAGATATAATTCAAATTCGACTAATAAATATTTTCTTCTTAGCAATTTATGTTTCGACTTATGGGTCAAAAGGGCAAGGCAAATCCGGTTATTATTTCTTCTGTCGCACCGAGTTACTGTTCTTTATGGGCAGTAAAATAATTAAAATGATATCTTTGAATATGGCGAAATCACAGCTTTACAAGTATTTGAGATCTAGGGAGGTGGAATTTATAAATCAATTTCTTTACTTTGAGCTGGAAAGTATCTTTTACTGTGCACAAATTTATTACCATAACTCAATTAGACTTAACATGAAATATTTAAATGTACTAATACGACAACACAAGTAACTGTTCATTATATTTGTTCCTAAAATGTGGAGCTGAATTGTTTTACTGGAATTATTAAATTAGTTTATTTTCTTCTTCTTCTTCTTCTTCTATATCTTAAGGGCCCACGATCAATTTAATGGTCATTTTGGCTCCTATGCATGTAGATGGGATTTGCAATGTTTCTGTTACTGATGTTGATGAGGAAATCATGCACTGGGGGTTTGAAGGCTTGAGGCAGTAGACACAAATGTGTCTAGTGTTGTAGCCTCAACCGTTCCTTTCGAAAGATGGTTCAAGTCCCTGATTGTCTTGGGCAGGAATGAGCAGCTCCTATACTGGCTTCTTGCTGGTATGAGCCTGAATTGCCTGTCATGGCCTCGTCGCTGTCTATGGGGGAGAGGGACGAGTTTCTGTTTAATACTGGAACAGTGGACCAGCCAATTATTTATCTTGTTCTATCTTCTATTCTAACTGCAAATGCATTCGAAAGTAAAAAAAAAATATCTTCTTTAATGTTTAAGACAAATATGAATTGAAAACATATTTAAAAACGGATTTTAACAAATGAAACATTTTCATAACTTAAACATAATTATTACACCCGCCCTTATCCTTTTTGACATTTAATTCACAATTCCTTTTTTTAAACACTCAAACAGCAGACGTGAGTTAAACGTCAGAGTGCAGACCGTCACACTATACAATGACATCATTACAAAGCAAATCAATGAAAAACAAATGTAGATTTTTTTTCGTCTTTTAGAAATTCCTGTATTCCATGGTTGATTTAACTGCAGATTGGATTACGTTTAATATATATTTGTGCATCTGTATCACAAATGACGAATTCATTTTTGATCACAGACGACTCCATCTGGATCGGCGCCAACGACATAGCCGTAGAAGGTGTCTGGCGCTGGGAGGACTCGGGGGATCTGGCCACGGAACTGACCGGATACTGGGAGATCGGACAGCCTGACGATGACGGGAACGTTGCCGACTGCGTGGACATCTACATCGGCTACTGTCGGAGCTGGAGACTCTGGGACGACGACTGCAATTTTACATATTCATTTGTATGCATGGACAAAGGCTAGTAGCCTTCACATCAGTTCTATGCCCTAATATCCTTTAAAGTGATACATTTTAGCTCACTTATTATTTTTTTTAGTATTGTTATTGTGCTTCGTGCATTAAAATGAGGGGAAACATGAGGGCGTAAAATTGTTGAGTCATTAAAAAAAAAATCTCCGGCAACTAAGGTCAACAGATATTATATAAACGAGGGGACCATTTTGTAATGCACACCTGGATGACACATACGTGCATGCAAAGGGCCCATTTACTAAATGATAATATATATGTATCGATAATTTATATATTTTGAATTGAACCCCATAGCTGCATTAAAGGTGACTGAACCATTGTTATTTAGGTAACTGAGCTGCAGCATTGGTATTCAAATTACTGGTATTGCATTTGACCTGGAATGTCATATTTTATAAGCGAACACTAGCTAGAATTGTAAAATATATTTATTTAAAACATTTTATTTTGGTATTTTTTAAGCCAAGCCAATAGTTTCACAGATTTATTGTAAAATGAAAGCAATTTTTCTAGTGTACATTTTTGTATAATAAGGTTAAGAATTATTGTAATTACGCTAAAAAAAGACATGAGCACAATATTACAGTGATTTATTTTACCATGTTACATTTATCGTGCAGCCAGTGCTATCACGCCCACGACAACGGAATCTACAACTACGGTTATTTCTAGCCCAACTACACCATCTGGTAAAAAAAAAAAATCAAATATATATTTCTTTAATCAACACTTAACTTCTATAAAACAAAGAATTATGAAAATCTTAACATTCCTTAAACTTTTGTGTTTGGACATATATACAGGCAATCATGAAATAAATGTAAAAAGTAATTCTTTAAATATTCTTTTAAAAAATCTATTTTTTTTTTTAAAGGGCATGAATTTAAAAAAATGAGCTGAGGTTAAGAACTGGAAATTTAAATTATTATGATTAAAGAGAAGAGTCTAAATTTTAAAAATAAAATAATACACAAATGAAAGCGATAAAACTTATAAAAGAAGACACAAAACATCAAAATAATTTGAAATTCTTTTTTTTTTTTAAATTAAAAGAAAAATGAAAAATAAATCAAGCCGTTTCAAATAATATAGAATTGAAAACCATAAACATATTATATTTAAAATGTATAAAACATAAATATTTATTTATTAGTGAACTGCAGATGGCCCGGCTCCATATATGTTGATGGTGGCTGTTTCCTCTATAACTCCACCTTGATGACATATGCCAAGGCAAAGGTGAGTGGACGACGCAGTTTTCATTACAACCTTTAGTTTGTTGGCGCTGTGATTTTAAGAAAGATCAATAGCCTTTACAGTGTAATAGGAATCAACAGGGTTATTTATATGTTAAGACTTTTTTTAAGTCATGTCATGGAGAATCTGTCCGAACGCCCCTAGTTCAGTTCCAGCACCGCCGAGGCGACTTGATGCTGTCACATGGGGTTTGCCTTTTCGTGGTGTGTCTGAGCAGTAGGGAGAGTTTGTTCTCCCGACACCAAAACCCAGGGCCACTCGCATGACTCCCCACGCAACGGGAGTAACGCAATAACATTATCAGTTTTTGCGTTGATGGATAAAATGTGTGGGTGGCATTCAAAGCCGACACCGATGATTTTAGCTATGCGGCCCCAAGAAATCTGCTCCTAGGCGACCGTTTCATCCCCGCTTACGTCCCGACCGAACGACTTCCTGGACGGTGGGCGAAGGTATCGCAAAACCTTTCCTCCGGAGTGGAAGCAAAGACATTCTGCCGTGCTTTAAAAGCAGCGTTTTCAATTCAAACGGACGTCTCCCAGGCCAGGTGTTAGGTAGACGACGTGCTTGCACATGGTCTGGAAAGGGGGAGACCCGGCGTCTCGCAAGTATGGAGATGTTCCTGGGGGGGGGGGGTATTTTGCGAACGCGCTCCAAGACCCAATGACGCCTTCTCCAAAGTAACTTTTTTCGTAATAATTCATATTTTATTCAAATTAAATTTGGAAATGAACCAACCTCAGCCACCGCAGCAACGTCAGCAACAGCAGCGACCGCAGCGACATCAGCAACCGCAGTAGCAGCAACGAGAGCAAATGCAATGACGCCATCTCCAAAGTAACTTTATTCGTAATAATTCATATGTTATTCAAATTAAATTTCGAAATGCACCCAAATAACATCAATGAGAAATTATAACATATTCTTCTACTCAATATTGCTAATTCCAATAAAAATTAAAACACAATGTCTAGAATGTTAAATATAATATGCGCAGCCAAATTCAAAAGTTGTCTTTTAAATCATTAAAAAAAAATGCCGTTAATAAATGTGGGGTATGGGTGGAAGTCAAAACCGATACCGATGATTTTAGCTACTCCGCCCCACGAAAGCCGCTCCTAGGCGACCGTTTGGTCACCGTTTGCGTCCCTACCGGTCGACTTCCTGGACGGTGGGGGGGGGGGAGGAGGTAATGCAACACCTTTCCAACGCAGTGGATGCAAGGCCGTTCTGTCCTCAGGGAGAATCCTGGCGCTTGCGAAATTGCGTTGTAAAAGTCAACTGGCCTGCATCCCCGGGCCAGGGGTGGGGGGGGGTTCATGGCGTGCTTCTGTGCGGTCTGGTAAGGGGGAGACCCGCAGTCTGGTCCGTTGGAGGTGTGCTGGGGGGGGGGGTATTATCAACTCGCGCTCAGCGACCCACCGACGCCATCTCCAAAGTAAAGTTTTTAGTAATAATTCATGTATTTTTCAAATTAAAATTCGAATTTACCTCAAATGACTTCAATGATAAATTATAACATATTCTTCTACTTAATATTGCTATTTCCAAAAAAACTATTACACAATGTCCAGAATGTTAAATATATGGACAACTAAATTCAAAAATTGTCTTTTAAATCACGAAAAATCAAAACTGCTCCATTGTGATGCTTAACTACGCTATACTTCTTTAAACTGCGCACATGATATTATTCCCACTTGCCAATTTTGTAATTTTCAATTAAGATCCGTTATGTTAAAAATAATTAATGATATTTATTGCAATTTTATCTCGGGAGTCTTAACCGAAAAAAATGAAAGATACATTTGAAATAGATAAAGTATCCTCTATTTTTAAGAGCTTTTTTTTTCTTGTTTATTATTTGTTCCCCTAATGACCAAAGTATTGAAATTCATTCAGGCATTTTGTCTTTCTATTGGTGGGGTTTTGGCGACTATAACTACAACCAACCAAATGAGCGTGCTCACAGCTAAAGCAAACGATGGTGAGTGGATTAGAAAAGAAATATATTGTAGTTAGCCTTGGCTGTCTCTGCTCTACCCTAGCTCTCTAACTACTTTATGTGGATGGTAACCTCGCTCACTCTGTTTCTCGTACTGCAATAATCATGTAATGGTTAGGCTTTCACTTTAATAATCTTCTAGACTGTTCATGATCAAGACAAGACCTTGGAACTCTGCTCTGACTTTCCCCGATTGTCTCTCTATTTCGTAAATATCTTCTCACATCCTGTCCGGCCTCCCTCTTCTGTCACCTCTAGAAATCCCCCTTTATAAGTCAAGGAGTCCACCGTGGTGCCTCTAGAGATTACTTCCGCGTGCTATTATGGTTTCTACATGTTGGTACTCTAATTAACCTAAAACTTCCCTCCGTCTAAATGGACATCAACTAGCAACTCCCCTTGCATCTAATGCCTAATTATGTTATTTTCACCCTCACGTTTGTGTTTGTGATGTCAGACGCCACGTGATAATTTGTGAGTCTTCGTACGGTGGGTTTCCCCCCTCACCCCAGCACAATATGATCTCTACCTTCCAATGTCTTGATTTATCGGTTGTCAACGTTAAATTCGTGCTTCTATGTTAGCTGGCCATCTGATATGCGTGTTAATTAGTCAGCCACCGTTCTGTGGGTCCCCCACCCTTGTACGATACAGGCTGAACCCTCTCTAATATATATAAATTTAATACAGAGCAGTGAGTAATAGTGCTGTCTAAATTGCGACAGTACCTTGTGGAATTAAGTTAAATCCCCAGAAAAAAGCTTAGACAAGCATAAACAATACAACATCTCGTTAATATTGGATGGAAATTGAACATGTAGGTCTCCAAATCTGAAAGCAAACAAAGAGATGGAGTTCCGTAGGTGGTATCAAATTAACGCAATAAAAATTCCAAAAACTTATGTGATGTGGAAAGTATCAAAAACACAGTGAAACACTATAAAACACTTCTGGTCATATTCTGCATCCTGCATCCCGGAAAATTTCCAGTGATTCTCCAAAAAAATTTGCCATTGTCTCTAATAGGCAAGGATGATAGGGTTAGGCTGATAATTTGATATACCCTTTGTCCTCTACGTGTGTAAAAACGAACGTTAATTAAAGTATATATGAACCATTTGAAATTTGGACTCTTCAAGAATTCAACAAACCAATACGTCATTTGTTAACTGAATTAAGTATTTTTGGTCTGTGCAATGTGTCTTTTTATCGAGTTGATGGCTTTTTTTTTTAGGGGGGGGGGGAATGTTTTCTCCCACATATAATTTTTTCACCTTTCACATTCTTCAATTAATTTTTACAGTTGTCTCTCTTGCTTAGAACCAAACAATGTTTAAAAATATTTTTATCGAGTTGATGGTTTTTTTTTTAGGGGGGGGGGGGAATGTTTTCTCCCACATATAATTTTTTCACCTTTCACATTCTTCAATTAATTTTTACAGTTGTCTCTCTTGCTTAGAACCAAACAATGTTTAAAAATATGATTCAAATTGAAATAAAAAATTTACAATATGAATATATCAAAATAGTAATAATATAAATTCGTTAAGGTCTTAAAACTTGAATAATTACTGTCTCCTTATAATTTTTTATTTTCTCTTTTTTGTACATTATTTAGTACATTGCTTTTTTTTTTTTTTTTTTTTTTTTTTTTTGTTTTTTTTACACATCAATATTTCAGGAGATTCAGTGTGGATTGGCGCCAATGATAAATCTGTTGAGGGAACTTGGCGCTGGGAGGACACGGGGGCCTTGGCGACGGAACTGTCTGGACTTTGGGACGTCGCCAGTGGGCAACCTGATAATTACAACAACGACGACTGCGCGGATATCTATGTACGGTGCCTGAATGTCGAGTTGTGGGACGACCCTTGCACGTCCAAATATAGCTTTATATGCATGGAGAAGGGTTAGTATTGAAATCTTATCGATTTCAAGTGATTTTTTTTTATTTTTAAAGTTAAACTTGATTGTCTTATAACAAAACATTATTTTGTTTAAGGATTTGTCGTAGGTGGCAGTAGAGGGAAGAAAATTGATTTTTGATAAAAACAATATATTAATTTTAGATATCATGTTTTAATTATAATGCTAATACAATTTGATACTGATTTTTAGTTTAACAATTTAAATGTCTATTTTGGTATTTATTAATGTAAATACATTTTTTTTTTCAAATGTCTTCCTTGGGTTAAGTTTTTTTATTTCATTTATTTTCAGCACCGACTACGACGAAAGTAACGACAAAAATAACGACAACACAAAAATTGACGACTACTACTGTGCCTACTAATACATCCACTTTACAAACTACAAAAACAATTTTATCTACTATAGAAACAGCTATACTCACTGCTGAAACAACCCTACCAACTACACCAACAACTCTACCCAATGCACCAACCACTATACCCACTACAACAACCCCACTACCTACTTCAACAACCACTCTACCTTCTACAGAAACAACACTATCCACTAAACCAACCACTACTCCCACTACACTAACCGCACTACCAACTACAATAACAACCACTGTACCTACTACAACAACAACTCTTCCTTCTAGAACATCTGCTTTAAACAATACAACAACTTCACAATCTTCAACATCTATTTCTCCTAGTACAACAATTAATCAACCTACTACAAAAACCACTGACACTGCAACATCATCACCGAATCTAGATAGAGACGAATTGACCTCATCTTTTGACTCGGCTCAGCCGATGACCCAGTACGACGGTTCAATCCTTAACTTAAACCAACGTGTCGATGTAGAGGCCAGGGCTGAAGTGGACACGACCACATCAACACCATCTTCAGCAGCCTCAGAACACGTAGCCACATCGGAGTCCATTCCTTTCAACCAGACACTTGCGATCGTTTCCTGTGTTGTCGGTTTTCTCATAGCGAGTGTTCTCATGATCATTATAGTGGCCGTGTGCAAGGCGTGCAAGGCATGTAGTAAGAACAAAGTACACGCATTTTAAAATTTCGAGTGTTAAACAATTTTTAAATTATTAGTTTCTGTATATTCTTTCTGAGTTTTTTTTCCCATTTAGTTTGAAGGCTATGTTTTGCATAATAAAATGTGTCCAAATGAATTCTAGCAACTATAACCATTATAAAAATGTGCCGATTTGATTTTAGGTCTTTGCACACAAAAAAATGTAAATGACTAAAATCTGGAGACCTAACATTAGTTTGATATTAGAGGCAGGTAAATAAACCAATGTAAAATATTTTTAAAGTCTATGGGATATCATATGTTTAAAGTTATTTAAGCTAATATTTCAGGACTCAAACTCCTTTGAAACATAATTTAAGGCAGTAATATTTATCAATATATCGTGTAATTAGTAGAAAGTATACATCCTGTTTGTTTATAATAAAGATAGCAAATGACACATTTTTTAAATAACAAATTGTACATACATTTTTACATTCTTAATCATTAAAATTATTGTAAATAAGATAACAGTAAGACTTTACATATAGTGATTTGTTCTGATTACAATGTCACCTCAGTCTTGTGCATGTAGTAATACATAAAAAGTTTTAATATTTAAGAACTTTTTAGTTGCGGAATAGCAAAAAGCAAAGAATAGAACGTCTTAAAACAGTGAACATTTTTTTCTTAACAAGAGGTTGTGTAGAATTATAATCGGATGAAATTTGTAATATAAGGGAAATATACATAGTCAATTCAATGTAATAGAGTTATTTAACTTTGACTAATTTGTGAAATATCCATATTTATGTAATAAAATTTTGTGAGCAAAAAATTGACTTACTCTAAATTCTATATGAGTGTTGTGTACATGATCAAGTAACAGAAAGGACAGCTTTTAAATTAATCTACAAGAAAATACATTTGTTCGGTTACAATATGACTGCAAGGCTGCAAGGCAATATTATTTAATTAAAGCAAAAGTTGCATAACGCACGATCAAATACTTAGTTGTTATCACGCGATGTTGGAAATAAGAGAGACTTATCATTGATAACGTATCGCCATTCCCCCCCCCCCCCTGTTTCTAATTTCCAATGATAGCAAAATAACCCACACCGATAATATAAATGATCGTTAAATTTGTTATTTTTAAGACATTTCTGCCATATGAATAGACTAAAATGATAATATAGATTTGATATCTAAGATTTATGAAGACTATTTGCATAACATTGATGTTGTTGATTTAAAAAAAAAAAAATTGACAGTGTTATAGATATGTTTTGAACTTTAAAAAAAAAATGACAGTGTTATAGATATGTTTTGAACTTTAAAAAAAAAATGACAGTGTTATAGATATGTTTTGAACTTTAAAAAAAAAATGACAGTGTTATAGATATGTTTTGAACTTTAAAAAAAAATGACAGTGTTATAGATATGTTTTGAACTTTACAAAAAATGACAGTGTTATAGATATGTTTTGAACTTTAAAAAAAAATGACAGTGTTAAAGATATGTTTTGAAGTTTGAAAAAAAAAATGACAGTGTTATAGATTTGTTTTGAACTTTAAAAAAAAAATGAAACACACCTATGAGCCCAAGGCTACAATAAAATACTTTGTAACACCACCTAGTTTGCACATAATGTATGATAAAAATAGGTACTTTAAGTTAGCGGTTCACGTCATGCGTGGAAGTGCATGAAAAGATAAATAAAACTATATTTACCAATGGGAGCACTGTTGTGTGCTAAATGTACTTGACCCAATTACATTTTACGACAGAGGATTCATTATATCTGTGTGTAATTTTGTTGTTCAACCGTCGGGGAGTCAACCAGGATAACTTTAACTATCAGAGTTTGTGCTAGTTCTGTCTGTGGGTGTGCAGATGGCTAATGAGGCCGATTCTGGCACGATATTCTCTTGTGCTGTAGGTGTAGGAGAATGAGGGCGCATTTCTGTGGAGCAGAGTAGGATCGGGACTTACTGGCATGTCTCTTGTGCTCAGCAGCTGCTGTTCTGTCATCTTCATGAGGTCACTGCTTATCGACTGATTACGACGAGTTTTACAGTAATTGGGGCTGGGTAGGTGTACACGGTGTCAGCTCACCTGGACATCAGGAAGTTGGTAACAATTAAGACTTAAGGTTCCACCACAATCAAACTAACAAACGTATGCTATTAACAAGCGTATCATAAAAATGGGTAGGTACTGTAATTTTTAAACAAGGGTGGAGGAAACAGTAAGTAGAGGGGGGGGCTCTCTTTGTTTGCTTGAAAACATGTTTGTTTAAGTTCAGTCCGAACCATTTAGTTTTTGCTTGAAAGCTGCCAAATTTTAAGTTTAGGGAAAAAAGGGGGAAACAAATTACAAATAATAATAAAATTTAAAAAACAACAACATTACAATGAAAGAGAAAAGATATACAAACAAAATAAATAAATAAAAATGTAATCATTTTAGTTGGGTGTGCTTTATAACAATTAACATAAACTGCAACAATATATTGTTCATATTAATTCTGATCATAGCCGGCTGTGTCATTCATTATACGTGTGTTTTATATTATTGTTGTGTAGTCAGAAAGTAGTAACAACAGTAAATGAATCCGTTATCATAAAAAATTTAAACTCTATATTATAATGTGTATAAATTAGAAAAAAAAGCAAAAGTTTCACTAAAAATTATGATTTTTCTCCGGCTACTAACGCATAGGTCGTGACCAAAATGATGACAATCACTCACTGCCTTTACTAATAATGACGTTCAGAAATCCGACGATCAACATTATTGATTTCATTCATGGCTTAACTCGATTAGGTCATTAAAACCTTTAAGAAAATTTCCGCAACCTCATTGCAGTGCAAAGAGTCTTCGGTTTCATAGTTCACTGATTTGCGATAAAAAAATAGCTATTTACCCATTTTAACGTCTGCCCTCAGTGTTGAATACTATTGCAAAACTATTTATCGCGAACAAATCTATAGCACGTATGTCTTTAAGGGCGAAACGACGTAGATTAGTGTAGGACTATTGAAGGAGTTCAAAAGAGCTCATGTTAAGTGGTTTTAATTACAGATTGATATCAATCACACAAAAAACATAGTCTTAATTATGGGCACCCATAAGCCATTTTAAGTAATTCTACAACCCATAGGACTCCATTTATTTACGCCCATTTACAAAACTTTATGTAAAGCATAATCTACAAGTATGGCTAAGACAATTGATTATTGTAACGGATTAAACTAATTTTTACAAATGAATGTACAATCTAATTTCATGTTGCAATTCACCATCATTACATATTGCTTGCTAGTAAGATGGATGAGGTCTGATCCGCACAAACATTTCTTTTTAATTAATTAAACTTATTATTGTTAATCATCTTAAAGTTTTTCAATACATAGTGGCCCTTATATTATGGCTGTGGAGCCTATTCTCAGTGCCTTCAAAGTTATAAGGTTGAGGACAGATGTTGACTTCATAGCCGTACGTTACGAGATTTAACTCCCATCGTTGTGTTTTATGTGTAGAGTTACAGAATTTCGAATTTGATGCAAAATCATGTTTATGGCAAGCGGATATGTAGCATTTTGCCTTCTCCTCCGATGAAGCTGTTGGGGTTCCTTGGTTTCTTGCAATTGGGTAATCAAGCAGATTAATTACCACGGATTGTCCCACACGAGGAACTAGCAAGTAGGAGCGGTGAGTTCACTGAGAGTAGAGAGATGGAAAATGTTTTTTTTATTTGGAATTTGATCTTGGTATTTTACAATTTAATATAGAGAGGACTATTTGCACGTAGAAGCTTAAAGAAATATAAAACACAAAGTAAAAGAAAACCAGAAAAAAGAAGGACATCAGAAAAGACGAAACAAAAAAAAAAGGTCCAAGTGACTGCAAGAAGCCTTTGTCAACGAAGAGCACAACATTAAAACTTTACTTTAATGTCCTTATTTTTTTTTTTTAGAACACATTGGTCAACTGTAGCGTCCGCTACTTCCAAATACGTGTGCAAGCCAAAAGGTTTTAAAAAAAAGATCAATACTACCAATTTCTTTCATTTTGCTCGATTACAGTGTTGTAAGAAAAGTATTAATTCTGTTAGTTTTTTTTTAAAAATTGAAGCTCTATTAAAAAAATTAATTGCTTGTAAAATATTTAATATTTGTGTTTTTAAGCTTATAGACAAAACATAAAAATAACTTCTAAGAATAAAACTTTATCCTATTTTTAACAATGCATTTATTTAATTTAATCATAGGGATAGATGTGTAAAAATACAATTACCCCAGGGACAAAGTTACATCAATTGGTTTAATCTATGAGTAGTATAAATACATGCATACAATTAAGAGGAAATATAATATCTGTTACAGAGTTCAATTTTATTACAATAACATTATTTGTTTGAAAATGTAAAATTCAAATGTACCCATATATTAACCACAGTGGCTTGTCATCAAATGTGTTCTTTAAATGTGGAAGTTGATCATTTTAATGTAAAATTACAATTATTGAAATGTCGAAAATATTATGAAAATTTTTTTTACTAGTTTAAAAACGGAATATTTAATTTTACCGATTAGGCGGCCGTAGTAGATTTTTATGCATTCTTTTTCTTTCATTTGCTGGTCAATTATTTTAATGATAATCTATAAGATGTCTTTAAATACAGTGGAGAACTATCTGTTTCTTTGAAAATGTTATCTCTAGACTTTTATTAGTTTTAAAATTAAGTATAAAAATGTAACAATATGACAGACGCAGTACGTGATTTTGAGGTAATCTTGGTTACATTGGAGAGTTAAATGCAAGCCCTTTCAAATAGTTTTCTCTATGGGCTTATCAGATATATTTGAAAGTTAAAAAGTACTGGAAACGGTCTCATTTTAATTTAAATTAACCAAGTGTATTAGACATTGTTTAAACGAATATGTCTTAAAATACTAGAATGAACGAATTTTTATTTTTTTGCTTTGATTCTGGCAAAATGTAACTCATGAAGCTTTTACATTTATTGATAAATTTTTATTTTAGAATTTCGTTCCGTCTCGATGGACTTCATTCATACAGTTGATACTC